GCGGGGGCTCCCCCTTCCCCTCCGCCGCCCGCTCCTCTCCGCCTGCTCCTCGGAGCCCGGTCGCCAGCCGGCGGCTGCCCGCCTTGACGCCGCTGTCGCTTAGCGCCCGATCGCAGACAAAGCCGCCTCCCCACCTGCAGCTCCGGCCCCCTCCCCGCCCGAGGCGGCCCCGGGGACCGCGGGCCGGGCAGGCTGCCCTGCCGGGGACGGGCGTGGGGAGCGGCGCTGGCCCGCTGGGCGCCAGCAACTTATTTTTAGATATGCTTCCCATCACAATGCGTCTTAAAAATAGCACGGTTCTTATTTAAGGAGTGGGAAATAAACTGGTTCTGGAGGCCTCGTGGTGGGATTATTTTTTTTTCTTAAGCCCTCTCTTCTTCAGAGAGAAAAAAAAAAAGATGTTTCAGTGGTATAGGCAACTGTGGGCCGGTTAATATCCACAGGTGCACCCAGGATGCTTTTACTGCGTCTTCGTTAAGGTCACCCCTGAAGCATGTGAACAAGGATACTCATGGCGTTGTCCTCTGCAGTGTGTCTTCGGTGTGAGACGCGAGGTTTGATGTACGTGCACACCTGATTCATGTCACACTTCCTGTAGGGTCACTCAGGATTTTTTTGATCTGTCGTTTCCTTCATTTTCTCTCGTCACTCGTCTCCAAACGCCTGCAACTTGTGGGTGATGCAGGCTGATGGAGTGATAACAGCCTACAAGGATCAGAGCTGTTTATTACTTTGTAAATGAATCTTTTGCTTTTGTTTTAGCTACTGTATCTCAGCAGACTCTGGTGATGGAACTACCATAAAATAAATGGGTCGTATTGCACTCAGTGTATAATATTACATCATTTCTATCAGTGACCTCATTGTGATTGCTTGCAAAACATTTCTGATTTTTATTTTGAAGCTACTACAAATACTTGGGAGACTTGTGTAAAATGAAGCATATATGAAAATGGAGAAGTACACCTCCAATAGGGAAAGGAACTTTAGGAAAAAAACCCCACTGATTTGCAGAAAATTTTAAATTGCAAATTACCTCTGGATGTCACCTAGTTCTGTCTCTGCACTCAAAGCGAGTCCAGTTGGGTAATGTTTCTCAGACTTTATTAATGTGAATTTTAAGTATTTCTAGGAATGGAGGTTATGCAGTCTCTGTGATTATGGTGGTGCCAGTGTTTGACCATCTTTGTGATGATTTTCTTTTTCTTAATCTGTTGGCAATTTCCCGTGTTGCAATTTGCTTGTGTTTCTTCTTATTCTGCCACTGTGTACCTCGCCTCTATCCATGGGTGATCATACATGTACATCTATAGAAGAAGCCATGATAGTGTTTTGAACCAAGGAACTGATTGTTTCATGACATCATTTTAAGTATAGTAGCTACATTTTATTCTTACAGATCAGAAATTTATTAATCCCAAGCATTTGCTTAACACTGCTTATTTATTTGGATGTGGTTAATAGCAGATTAGCATATTAATTTGAAATACTTAAACACCAGATAAGATTATTTGTTGGTGCTTTCCTTAAATAAATGCCTCAAATAATTTACCCATCTCTGTCCCCTGGCCTTGTGTTCCTTAACCTGGAATTGAGATTGCTTGCTCCCAACTTTTGCTAGAGTACTTTCACCATCAACAGTGTCATATATAATCTCTTAGAATGACAGTCTACTCATTTTAATAGATGGAAAGGTTTTTTGCTTTTGTCTTGAAATAGATTTTCCTTGGGAAGGGATGTACAATACAGTACAACATGTTATTACTGAGAAGTTGCCTTTGTACTATATAGGCATTGTTTAATGCTCTGGAGTTGGTTGATATTTATGATGCTGTTGATATGGTAAGTGATGTGGGCACCTTTTTTTTTGTCCAGCAGGAAAATAAAAAAAAGCTTCTGTGCTGTGCAGAATAAAAATCTGCATGTTCTCCTCCATGGTATAAGGCTGTCAAAATTACTTGTTTCTTAATTTGCGTAAATTCTTGGATGTTGTGGATAATACCTCAAAAGCAAGTGAATATATTTGTAATGTGATTTATAACGTGTCACTTCTGGACGTGTCTGGGTAGAATTTTAGAACATTAGCATGGTGCTGTTAATAGCAAATACTTCTGAGTAGCTCATGCTTTCCATTAGAGCCATATCAAATAATTTATTAGAAGCCGTTTGAATGACTGGCTGCACTGAATTTGATGATATTTAGAACCATTTGATAAATAATTTAACTTATGTTTCCAGATAGCAGCTGCCTTTTTTATAATGATAGGAACACCTGACTGGTCCATTCATTGACTTATATTAATTGTAGTGAGCTTTCATTCAGGAAGAAAACAAATCTATGGGTCAGCTTTTTTGTGGTGTTGTTTTATATTGTTTTATTTTGTCATGTAATGACTGTGTGAGACTTAGATGCTCTTGACATTTATAAATCTCTTCTGCAGGCTTACTAAACTCTAGATTATGTATTCAAGATTTTAAATTTTACAATTTAAAATTTATTTTAGGCCTTTTAAAATAGTATTTTCTATTTCAAATGTGGACTTCTTAGTCTGTTTATGCTTTTCGCAGTCTGTATTAATCTCCTGCTAGCATGTAATTATGGTACAATAAATAAATAAAAGACATATTACATTTCCACAGGATAAAACTTTTTCAAGGGTATAAAGGTTGTATTTTATTTGACAGTATTTGAGGGTGATTTGCATAGTTGAAAAATAGTTATCTTGGACTGTTAAGATCAAAGTCTTGGAAGAGGTGATCATCAGGATAGCAGTGATTCATATAATAAATTTCAGTTTGAATTTGGTCAACAACATAAAACCGGGAATGTTCTTGTTAGACTCACAAATGGTTTGCTTATTGCAGTTCGTACAGAAAGGCTGTCAGTGGCTTTAACTTTATTGTTATAAGATAGAATTTCATAATGCAGCTCATACGCTTTCAGTTTTATGGCCTGGAGGACTGAATGTTGGAATGGCTGTGCTAAATTAAACCTGGGGTCTGTGACAATGACTAATAAAACATGCTTCAGAGGGAATTGTGAGAACAAATGGGAGGTAATTTGCATCCCCTGCTCAAGGTGAATATGATGCTTTGTAGTTTGGAATTGGCTTAAAGTCTGGATAATGTTTAATAGCCTCTTCAGATGTTATTATGCATAATTATGATAATTTTGGACATACTTGTTGCTGATATAAGTAACCAGTCTAGATCTGTGGCTAATTTGGGGGGCAAGTATTTTATGCTGGTGTTCTATTTGCTTGCTTGTTGCCAGACTGTTTCTAGACTCAGGCCAAATTAATTTAATGCTTTCCACCAGATTGAGTGATTCGGGAAAAAGAAGTTCTTTTGCCAACAAAGTTTATAGTTTGAACTGTAGTGGTGACAACATTCATCTAGATGTGAAACCTGCCCAGTTGCAGATTAATTTCTGTTTGTGTTAGAGCAAGATCTGGAACAGAAACTGTTTCTCAGAGAATCCCATTATCATCAGTTTGTAGGAAGGTCTGGGGTGTGTATCTTTCAACTTCTCTTGTGGAATTGACGTAGAGACCATGCCTGTACTTGCTAATTAGGTCTTTTATTTTGGACTTGGAAAACGTGGGAAGTTTGTGTTCCAACAGCTGTCCTAGTGAGTTTTCAGGTATTTTAAATATAAACAGCATCTACAAACAAGCCCGAAATTACACTGATACATACTAACTTGATCTCCTGAGCTCTGGGCTTGGCTTAAAACCCAGTAAAAAAGCATTTTTATAGTACAGTCTGTTCCTGAGTATTGCTTAATTCTAGTATCATATCATCTTGAATGAGGGATGCTTATCATCTCTTATTTATTCTCAGCAATTGCTTCTGAATACTGTTAAATTCTTGGTATCGATGGCTTCTGGAAAGAATAGGTTATGTGCTGTATGAATATATATTTATGAAATATATATTCATATATTGCCATTGTGTAGTAGAATGGCACCAGTCAGTATTACTCAGGGAATACCTGTGAGTCTAAGTATAAATTTCATTTTGTTACTGATTAGGAATTTTTTATTACTTTTTTAAACTTTATAGATTTCACACGAAGCTCCATGGAGGGTTTTGAAATGATGAAATTCTGCAGTTCGTACCACTGCTCCTGTCAGGCTTCCTACTATGTTTGAGGATTTATATGTTTGAACTTTGATTGAAATTGCATATAATGCTATTCCAAATCAGTGTTCCTTCACCTTCTGTGTGTGATGGGTGGCTTTCTTTTTTCCATAAAGGAATCCATTATTTGCATAGGTACACCCAGCTGGCCCTGAAAGGAGTGCTGTTGCTTGAGAGTTAACTTTCCTAGACTAGAATCCCATGAAAACTCCACCAGTTTAAGTTATTGGTCACTAATAATTGTATTCATGTATGATCCAAACCCGGTTTTCACAAAATGCTTTCTGTTTGCAATATAACCACACATTTTGTTCTCATCTGTGCTGGCATCACTGCTGCAAGTAGGAGACTGCTATAGATGGCAGTGTCAGGCTGGGGAAACGATGGGAGAATTTCTGGTGACTACAGGCAGGGAAGTGAGAACCTAAATTTAAAGCCTGTATTTCTGTCCCTACTAACTGAAGTTTATTTCCCAAAATAGCACTGATAAAAATAATAGCTTTCATTGACTTTTTTGTTGTATTATCCATGTCAGCCAAGAAATGTTCTTAAATGCTTTAGGCAAATGTATAAAAGGAGGGTTAAAAATGTAGTAGGTGTTTACTGTCATACTTAAGACTTACTTCTTGGAAATTTGTTCTTGAGAAAAAAAGATTCTTACAAACCTCTTAACATATTTTTAAATGAGCTGGAACAAGACATGATATTACAAATAGCATTACTAAGGTCTATTAAATATTAGTCCATGCTTCATGCTTCACTTAATTAGAGTGCTTTGAAAGGAGTTTAAATGCAAGTGTCAGTTGTCATCATAAATGAGTGATTGTTAGGATGTGGATTTATTTTATTCTTTTTTTTTTCTTATTTGCAAGACTTTCATACCAGGCCATGACAGAGCATACAGCTTTGACATGGGATTGCAAACTGGAGCACCTTTGTGGAGTAAGATTGGAACTTCTTGAGCCACTCCACTTGTAAGGGGGTGGAACACTTTCAACAGTGCTGTAGGATATTGCTGTCTTCTAAGTTAAATAATAGGTGTTTTCTTATTTAGATAGAAATCAGTTTTCAAAGATAGGCTCTTTGCACAACAGGTCCCTGAAAAAGAATCTTTGTCTCACCTTGTGGAAGGCTTTATTTGGAAACAGAACACCTCTATTCATTCACTGCAGGACTTTCACTGTGATCATTTTATGTGTACCTGACAAACTATAAAAATGATGCAATGACATTTGGGTTTGGTTTTTTTGACTTGATGAAGTCAGCTGCTACATCCTTATATTTTCTTTCAGATGTCTTTACTAAAAATCTGAAAAAACACAAATATTTTGAGTAGATAATATTGTTCTTCAGAAAAAGTACTGCATACCTGTGTACTTGGCATAAAGAAAATAGAAACTGGTGCTTTCAGAAAGCAAGCTAAGTTTCTCCTATGGTAGAAACAGGCTTACTTGTCAAGACTGACAAGCTTAGTGTTTCTGGGCCAGAGCATGTTTTTAAGCTCTGTGTGTGTGATGAAATACTACAAATAATGCTGTAGTTAGTGTTGGCATTGAGGATGAAATGACAGACAACAAGTACCATAATTGTTTGTAATAGTATCCTAGCTGCCTAGATTATTCCTAAGTTGGTGATTCCATACATTGCTGTTTTAAAAGGCAATTTTAACAGACTTCACAGAATTCATCGGTCTCACTTTTTTTTTTTATTTTCCCACAGCATGATGAGATTTGAAATGAGTTGGAAGGAAAACTGTATGCTTAGCATTTGTTTAGAGATTATTTAATGGATCTGGTTGATCTATAGATGCACTGTCAACTGGGTTATTACTGAATGAACATTTTCAGTATCTGAAAATTCTTCATCTTATATACATAAAAAGTTGTATACATTGCTTGTTGGGGATATTTATAGCAATAGATGTTCTGAGAGAGAGATTGTTT